CAATTACATCATCAAGAATTTATTTTGTGGCTTTAATAATATAAGCCTTCAAAGTTGCCTCCTATCAATCTGCTTTCTTAAGTTTCTTTAGTGAAGTATAAATTATTTGAATCTCTATTTACTTCTAGTAAACATTAGACAAGCCAATCTTTCAATTTTTACTAAGTCTATTAGAAACAATTGATTAGATGTAAATTGTGGCACTTGTTTTGCAAGTAAAATGTTGGATATTAGAGATTTCATCAACATGGTTTGATTCATCACCCATTGTTCTAGTTCTTCCATGCACTTGTTCTTCAATTCAAGTAGTGAAAACAAGTCTTCTTCAAAAAAATGGTTGTAAACTTCTTTTATATTATCTCTATTTATATTTAAAGAAAGGTTTTTAAATATGTTAACAGTTTTACTAAGAAATATGTTGAATTAGTGAAATGAATAAGAGTCACATGATTCCCAGTGGTGGGTACCCTTTTAACATACAAATATCATTATATTCAACTTTTAGATGATTAAAACTGGAAATAAATTCTTATTGAAAGATAAATTCTAGTATTCTACCACTAATTCTTATAATAAGAAATATATTCAAATCCAATTCAAATATGTACTAAAAAGACAGATATTTCAACTTTTCAAGTATTTTTGCATGATATATAAGCACCAAAGAAAATATATTTCATCATGATGAAGTTATATTATTTTTCTTATTCTTATTATTATTGTTGTTGAATCAGCTATTTTATATGAGTATTGTTAAGAAAAATAGTAGAACATTTGGGATTCAAAAGATTAAAAAGTGGACTTTGGTAAAATTTTGCGATCACATTCCATTCTAATAATTTTTTTTAACCATTGTTTCTTTATTTTAGATGTTCTTTGAAAATTTTTTAAATTAATATTTTTCTTCTTCTTCTTTTTAAGAAGCCTAAGATTAAACTCTTGTTTTTTGAGTTGGCCTTCTTTTTCTTAACTTTGGGAGTGCTTTAGTTATATGAGCATTTTCTAAGTTTATGAGATATATATATATA